GACAGGGTCTCATTTAGTTGCTGAAGTTGGCCTCCTACTTGCAATCCTCCTGCCTCAGCCTCCCAAGTAGCTGGGATTATAGGTGTGCACCACCATACCTGGCCTTGCCTCTTTTATTTTCTTTAAAAAAATATTTTTAGTTGTAGATGGACACAATACCTTTATTTATTTATATGCAGTACTGAGGATTGAACCCAGTGCCTCACATGTGCTAGGCAAGTACTCTACCATTGAGCTACAAGCCCAGTCCTCACCCCTTTTCTTTTTTTTTTAATATTTATTTTTTAGTTGCAGTTGGACACAATGCCTTTATTTTATTTTTATTTTTATGTGATGCTGAGGACCGAACCCAGGTCCTTGAATGTGCCAGTTGAGCGCTTAACCGCTGAGCCACAGCCTTAGCCCCTTACCCCCTTTCTTAATTGTTAAAATTTACCCAGCTGGTAAACTTACCAGTTTCTGCTAGACTAGAATTGGATTAGGAATCTTGTTGTGCCAGTAGAGGGAAGGAATCAAAGGAACCGATATTGCCTTATTTTCAAACAATGCCTCCCTTTCCAGCCCGACTTTCAGATGTGTCTGGTAGCACCAAACCTTTGAAGAGGTCTTTGTTGAGAACTGGCTTGCTTCATTTGGGCCCAGCACCTGGACTCACCTTCCAATTAAAAAAAAAAAAAAAAAAGTAAACATTTTTTAATTGTTGATGGACCTTTATGTTATTCATTTAGTTTTATGTGGTGCTGAGAATAGAACCCAGTGCCTCACACATGTGAGGCAAACACCCTAACACTGAGCCACAACCCCAGCCTAGATTTCTGACTTTTTAACCTGCTCTTCCAACTAAGGAATCAATGCCAGTCTGCATCTTCTGGGCTCTCCTGATTTTTCCAAGTGATTATCTCAGATACCTTTTCTTCTGTAACTTGTCTTTGGGGAAGGCAAATCATCTTCTCTCTCAAGGGGAAGGAAGGGAAAAGACATCACAAAATCTGAACACAAAGGCCAGTGGCCCCCTTATAAAGACCCTTGTGGTGTGGGGAAGGAGAGAAGGTGGCAGAGGATGGGTGATGATTGAAGTAGGGCTGCCAGTATTACGATGAGGGCATGAGTGTAGACCCAGTTATTGGTGGCTCATTGGCAATTCTCTCTAGGAAGCACTTTTAGCTATTAACTTTGTGTCTTAATTGCAATGCTAGGACAAGTGGCAAAAGTTGCTCAAAAACTGCATAACATTCCATTGTATGGGTGTATTCAAATGCACTTAACCAAAAATCCCATTCACTGGATATTTAGGTTCTTTTCCACTTTTGTGATGTTAGAAGCAATGTTACAGTGAACCTTCTTCAAGTAGTTAACTATTATTATTCCATAGGTGAAATCCCTATGTTGGAATAGCCAGGTGTTAACGATATGTGTGTGTTTAGTGCTTTTATTACAGTTTATCTGGTTACCCTGAAATCCTGTACCAGTTTTAAATTCCTTGCAACATAAGAGTCGTCGTCCCCCCTCCCTCCGCCAACCTATGTTTGCTACAGGGTATTTTATCTTTTTCCTTATCTCTGCCAGTTTTGGTAGAAGAGTGGCAACTCATGATTTTTCTTTGCATTCATTATTACTAGTAAGAATGAATGATTTTACATCTGCTTCTTGACCATTGAGCAATCTTTTTATGCAGTTTGCCTGTTCAAGTCCTGTAACAATTTTTCTGATGGTATATTCAACATTTTTTTTAATCTGCAGGAATTCTTAAATACATTGATAGTATTAATAATTTGCCTTAAATATTGCTACTGTTCCCAATTTGGTACTGCCTGGTTTATTTTATTTATAATTCTTTCTGTTTTACAGAAAATTTATATTCTTTTGTTTTCAGATTAGATAAATGAATTATCTGAGTCTCAGTATTCTCTTCTGTAAGGTTGGGATAGTGTACATAAATTAACTGCTATGGGATTTTTGTTCAACAAATGATAGCTTTTGCCATTCTCTTTTGATACATTGAAATAGATCAGAATCACCTAAAATTTTTACTAGAAGTACAAAACATACCCAAAGATGTTTAAACTGGATATGAAATGTATAAGAAGGGAAACTCCAAATCCTTTAGACTGTATAGACAGGAAATTGAATTTTTTCTTCTTTACTTTTCTAATTCTTATCCTTAAAATAAATTTAATGAACTCCAATTGCTATATCTCCTTAAGTAGAAAAACCTGAGTGGAGAAAGGGGAGGGTGAGAAGAATAGTGTCTTCTTTTTTTTTTTTTTTTTTTGGTGCCACTGAACCACATCCTCAGCCCTTCTTTATATTTTTATTTAAAGATAGGGACTCACTAAGTTTCTTAGGACCTTGCAAAGTTGCTGAGGCTGGCTTTGAACCTGTGATCCTCTGGCCTCAGCATCCCGAGCCCCTGGGATTGCAGGCATGCACCACTGTGCCCAGCCAGAATAGTATTTTCTTACAAGTTATTTGTTAAGGGATTTTGAATACTAATTTCTCACAAGGATTTCTTTCATGGTATCCTTTTTTATTTTATATCAATCTAGACACATCTACAAAAGAACAAAAGCATACATTAGCCCTTTCTGCTTTTCAGACTATATGAAGATGGGGTTCCCATCCTCCAGAGCAGTAGAACTTTAGTTCATTTGCTTACTTACTTCCTTGAGGCCAAGTACAAGTTGGCATAAATTGTTAACAGTCATAAATGACATAAACTGCTTCTATAAACTACTTTTTAGGCTACTTAACACCAATACTTAAATTTTTTTGTTGTAGATAGACACAATATCTTTATTTTTTAAATTTATTTTTATGTGGTGCTGAGGATCGAACCCATTGTCTCATGTGTACAAGGCAAGTGCTCTACCACTGAGCCACAGCCATAGCCCCAACACCAATATTTTTTTAGTTTGTATTTTGTAAATTCTGAGTGACTTTTGGTAGTATTATAGAATTCTTATAAGACACTGTTACAATAAAATAATTTTGTTATTTTATATAAAATTTCAGTTTGTGAAATCACGTAGTAAATTCACAGATTTTATTTTAGTAAATTCACAGACTTTGAGGATATGGTCTGAATATATTCTATTGAGCCACATTTTAATATTTTATTATATTAGAACAAAGGGTAAGAGATCACCATTGAGGAAGTTTGTAAGCTATTGTTGTTTATTCACCAAATAGATATTTGGAAACTAACATCTGTCTTAGTTATTTTTCAGAATTCATGGCTATCCTAAGGAAAGGTTAACTTTTTGTATGTGTGATACTGGCATTCTACAACTGAGCTATATCCTCAGTCATTTTTATTTTTATTTTTTTATTTTGAGACAGATTCTCACCAAGTTACTGAGACTGATCTCAAATTTGGGATCCTCCTTCCTCAGCTTCCCATATTGCTGGGATTATATGCACACACCACCATGCCCAACCCAAGGAGAGGTTAACTTCTAAAAGCCAGCAAACATTCTGGGTGACTGGCATAACTCTCTCCTATCCATATTCCTTAAAAAGTAGATCACTTTTTAAATAGTTGTGTTTGTGAACATTCTCATTGCAAGGTGGAATGATTACAAGTGATATCTAAAAACATACATGAGATTTCATGGGCATTGATGTTGCCATTAGCTTATAAAATTTCTTGATACATTTAAATTAATTTTTGTCTATAATTACTTTTTCTGAAGTGTCATTTTATTATTTTAATGTAGCTTATTCAATTGTCAATACAAAACTTCATGAAATTCAAATAGTATTACAAAGTTAACCATTGCAAATATGTTTAAGATCCTTTGTGGTGAAGTAGTTACTACTTGGAATATAATAATTCCAAACCCTTCATAATGATAATGTGCTTGCTGCATTTTAAAGAAATTTGCTCTAGAACAGTTGAAGAATCAGTTGTTTATGTGTAAAATGCCAGCCACCTGGTAAGTATCCCCAGGGAGAATGATTTTCTCTAATTTAAACTTAGTCTAAAGAAAAGATAACCTCTTGTATTAATTTTCAGTAAGACTTTATTAAAGTACATATCCAGAATCTAGTTCAGTTGCTTTCAGAACTAGTTAAGAGTGATTTGCCTGTCAAAATTAAACATATTGGCAGGTCATCCTGTCTATATTTGTATGAAGAATTGGAGTAAAACTTACATTTTCACTTGAAGTGTTTTTTTGAACAGTTTCTTTCTTCTAGCAGTTATATTATTTTATTGACTGTTAATTTATCAACTCATTTAAAAAAAAGTGAGAGGAAAAAAAGGCCACAGCATTATCACATTTCTATATGTGTGTTCCCTAAACCATATGGTGATTTCTAATTAGAATACAAAAGATTGTGTGATGAGACTAACTTCATAGTAGCTGTGATGGTGGGCATCACAGAGAGAGTTTTTTCTGGAATTTCCAAAAAGGACACTTTTGAGAGAAACTGTGTGGTCTGTAATTGTCCTTATACTAGAAGTCTGATAAAGTTATTGATGTGTAGATCAAGTTGGTATTTCGAATCTAGTAATTTAACTCTGGATGCTTGATCCTCACAGTCAGTAGCTTGACTTGATTTTTCTTTCTTTTTTTTTTTTAAAGCAGCTTCAATATTTAATTTCACATGTACCCTCTCACTAGAGATTTCAAAGGATACTTTGCTAGATGCTTGACTGCCTTGTCTATTTGCTCTTGTTTTGCATGCAAGAGAGAGCCAGAAGCTTTCTTCTCATTGTGTACACATAGTATTAATGGATTTACTCTGCCTGTATCGTCTCATTACTGGAAACAGCTAGAAGCACAGAAGTCTTTCAGTGTATGCAAATAAGGCAGAATCATCTACCTGAGAGTTAATATTCTCTGCTTTTAAGTGTATTCTAAATCTAATGTTTGTATTTAGAGCATAACATCCTGTTCTCTTTTTTTATGGGCAAAAAGCTAAGCAGGCTCAGGCAGCTGTTTGATGTTGGCTTCAAGTGTTATTAATTTCATATTCTATTATTCTTTTCACTGTAGCACAAGTGAAGCTGATGTGGAGGCTGTCATGGATAAGTTGTTTGATGAGCTGGCTCAGAAACAAAATGATTGTACGTAAGTTAATTTCTCTTGAAAGAGAATACATTTAGAACACAATGCCCAATCTCCACTGACCAATTAATAAGTTCCATTGCTGTATATGGGTTGATGCCACGCTCAAGTGGCAGTCATTGTATCAGCATTTTGTCTAATTTATGTGTTGAATCATGTGCTATTATTCATCAAGCTATGCATTTCCTATCTGTAAGAGATGAATTTTATAGTAATTATCCAGACAAGATTGAGTCTTTGTTCATGTTCCCATAGTAACTAGACCAAGGATTCTAAAAGTGCAAGGCAGAGAGCTGCGGCTGAATAAAGCCTGTGGAACCGTTGCCGACTGCACATTTGAAGAGCTGTGTGAGAGAGTAAGTATCCAGGCACGTCCAGACTCATTGGCCTTTTCACATGTTAAAATACTTCATGTTTTCCTCTGCCTCTTTCAGATTTTAAAATACTATTCACAGAGTCAGAACTGTTTTTAAAGTCTCATTAAGGGAAATACTCATCTATATTTGCCATGTGCTTTTTATAGATGTTGGCATGAAATTTGCTCTTAGAGGGGCTCTAAAGCAAAATTAGAAATGCAGAGAGAACTGTCAACTGTTGCTGAGAGCAAAAATAAAATCAGTTTAGGACTATTTTGTAAAAGTCACACATGAGGGATTTTTAAAAATTCAAAATGAAGTTAATATGTGGGAAAAAGAAAGATGGAGTAATGTCACCTTGTTCTACAAAATGTGACATAAAGAATTCTCATTCTTATACCCATTGCTCATTTGCTATACCATCATATCTGACCTTTTTTTTAGGCCAGGGTCAAAGAAAGTGAATTTCTAAAACTGATATCTCTACTATGTCAGAAATAACACATTCCACAAATAAAATACATGCATATACATACATTCAGGTAAGAAAGACTTCATCTGTCCTGGTGGTACTCACTTTAATCCCAGCAACTTGGGAGGCTAAGGCAGGAGGGTCACAAGTTCAAGGCCAGCCTCAGCAATTTACTGAGTCCTTGTCTCAAAATAAAAAATAAAACGGGCTAGGGATGTAGTTCAGTGACAGAGTGCCCTTGAGTCAGTATTGCAAAGGGAAAAAAAAAGGAAAATTTTGCAGATTCATTTTAGATATGATATGAATTCTGTCTTTTCAAAATTCTGGAATTCTCAGTATTCAGAGGATATTTAGTGTGTTTACTCATGATAAATCTTGAGAGAAACAAATCCAAATTAGATATAACTTTAAGCATAATTCCTTAACTGACATTTAGAAATTATCACTCCAGTTGGCCTCTGATTTATTTAGACTTTTAAGTAACTAAAGAAGTGTTTCCCAGTAAGAGGAAATAGAAAGTATTTATTTATACCTACCAGCCATTTTATGAGTACTCTTCTTGAAAATTAATGACTTAATTACTTCTAACCAGAAGTAATATTTAAACCAGAGAGATGAATTCAATCTACAGTCATTTAGCACTTCAGAACTAATGAAGTTTGTGATCAATTAGGATCCTTTGACAGAATGGTAACACTAGTCTCTGTTAGCAATCCCATTCTGACTGATATAGACTCTTCAGACTTCTACTGGACTTGTCTCATTAAGGTCCTAATAACCTAGTAACTTCAGACAAAATTCTTTCAAAGTCTTCGTTCAGGTTTTACTCACTTTACCAGTGAGAAATTCACTTGAGCAGAATCTTGTGCATTCAAAAGATACTTTCCGACTGCAGAAAGGCACCCCACTGAGGAAAAGGAAAGGACAAGAGGGGCCAGGCCAGTGGTGCAGGTGACTCAGGAGGCTGAGGCAAGAGGATTGCAAGTTCAAAGCCAGCCTCAGCAACTTAGGCCCTAAGCGACTTAGTGAGACTCTGTCTCAAAATAAAAAATAAAAAGGGCTGGGTATGTGGCTCAGTGGTACAGTACCCTGATTTCAATCCCTGGTTTACCTCCACACCACCCCCCCAAAAAAAGGAAAAGACAGGAGGATGCAAGGGTGCTTTCTTGGAGCAAATACTGAGCATTTATCTGTATTGTTTTTTATATGCTCAGGAGGTTGATATTCTTTCAGGAAACTTACCATCCAACAAAAAGGCTACCTAGAACCAAAATCTTCATTGTCTGTTTACTGTATGATGGTGATGGGAAGAAGGTTAATTGGGATTTCATCTTGAAAAATGAAAATAAGACTTGTAAAAATAAGTCACTTTTATTTTATTTGACAAAATGTGGATTTTTAACAGCTATGAATTAAACTCTTAGAATAAACAGTGAACGAATTTGTGTTTATTTTTGGCATAACTTTCTTGACAAATTCTAGGGTTATAAACTCTTCATGGTTTGGTTGTTCAGTCACACAGAAAATCATTTTTATAAAGACATTTAAGGATTTCATCCATTTTCTTGAAATCCTTTAACTTTATGACTATTTGAATTAATTGTTTTCTTTTAAAAACTGTTTTGTTTTAATTAGTTATACATCATATATAATGGAGTATAATTTTTCATTCTTCTGGTTGTACATATGTAGAATCACACCAGTCCTATAGTTACATATGTACATAGGTAATAATGTCTGATTCATTCTACTATCTTTCCTACCCCCATGCCCCCTCCCCTCCCTTCATTCCCCTCTACCTAATCTAAAGTAACTCTATTCTTCCCCTAGCCATCCCCCTCATTGTGATTTTCTTTTGAAGTTTTCATGGTGTCATTATCTCTGTTGATTTTTTTCTTCTTCAAGTTAGACAGATCCTAATCAGTGACTTTTGCATCCATAGATTTGCCCTTTATCTACATTATAATTATGGGATGTTTACTATATCAACCACCTCTGAATAATCAACAAAAGACACTCACATGAGCCTTAGGGTTAGTTCCTAGTATTAAGCTATGAGCGGTGTTTGAGGAAAGGCTAAATTTTTAAGTTGTCAGTTCTATTGGGACTGTCTTCTTGTTACAGTGATTTTGCATTTCTTTGCAGCCTTGTAATTCTGACAATCCAGATATTGAATACTTATGTGAAGAGGACCCTTGAAATCATTCAACTTCAGATGTGGCCTAAAACTGTTAATTAGTTATAATGATCTTATGAGCCAGGGTAAATACTTGCCCAAAAAAATTCTGTAAAGAAAATATTGCATTCATACCAAGATAAAGAAATAGGCATGTGGTGTGACTGGGATGGTCCCAGCTTTGGATTACCTAAGTTGGTCTTCTGGAAGGCTTTTGAAGCCCAAAATCCATTCAATGTCCACTACTGATGTCATGGTGAAAAAGACCTTGACAAGGAGTGAATGAGCAGACAGTTTGTAATTATTATTTTTAAGCCATGGCTCTTTCCAAGGAAGAAACTAATTTGTTCTTAGACTTTTAAATATATTAGGTAGAAACTTACCTATTAGTTTCATAATAAGGTAAAAGAAGATTTTAACTAGAAGTTCCTGCTGTGAGTCAAAAGCAAAAGACCTTAGGCATTCTGCTTTTTATGTGTCTCTTTCTTCCCTGTTCCAAATGCAGTCTCTAGGGTCTATAATCTTTTAGATTACCATCTAGCTTCTTGGTATCTCTGGGATTCTTTTTTTTTTTTTTTTTCAAGTCTATAATTCATCGCTGTCATGCTCGGAGAAGCAGTTCCAATGAGGAAACCCTATAGCACCTTCATAATAATAATAGCTAACAGAGCTATGCATCAAGTGCATTCTAAGCACTATTATGTATTAATTTATTTAATACTTAAAATAGGTATCGTTGAGGAGCCAAGATGTTATTTTCCTAGGGTTACACAGCTGCTAAGTGGCAGAGCCCAGGCTTGAACGCCTTGGTAATTTGGGAGCCAGATTCTGGCCAGTTTTTTTTTTTTTCTTTTTAAATCACTACATGATATCTGAAGATGTTCTGGACAAGTTCTGCTTCAAATCATTAAAATAATTCAAATTCTGATGTGAAGTCCAGTCAGATACTTTGTGAATTTCTACATCTAAGCTAAGCTTTGAGACTTTTGTGGAGCATGAAGCTGGCTGAGGAACAGACACCCTCCAGTCCTGAGAGCCCACCTCTATGCTGAGAATGTTAGCACAGAGCACAGAGCTGTCCAAACCACATGCCTTTGCTTATCCACTGTGAATCAATACAGCTATTGACCCCTGCATCCTCCTGAAGGCTGTGTCTGACCTGTACCTCCAGGATGGGGGCTGTAAGCATTTGGCAGCTTTCATCCTTTTTACTCTTTAATAAAAATGTTACTATTTTCTGTCCCTGCCATGATATGAAAAAGATTGTGAAGTGCTGCATTAGAAAAGTGTGGGTGGGTAAAGGAAAGCATGTTTGAGTGGTTTTTGTTCCCTGCCATTCCCTCCGTATGAGAGCTGTAGTAAAGAAAAATGAAGCTGATTCATCTCTCTGGACATGCTGTGAGCTTTCAGGCTTTCTTCCTTACCTTGGCCTTATTATGTGGCTTCATCAGAGGGTAGTGGAGAAGTCAGAATTATGGTTACTTAAGCCAGCGGTTCTCAAAATGTGGCTCGTAGACCTTGAGGGGTTCCTGAGATCCTGACTTCAGATGTCTCTGAGGTCCAAACTCTGTGTGAATACTAGGATACTTCTTGCCTTTTTCTTTTTCACTATGGTGACATTTATAGTAATGGTGCTAAAGGAACATTGGGTGACACTGCTGAATCAAGTGTGAACCAAAACTGTGGCAGCAAACCATATTGCATTCTTCATTGCCCATGTACTCACAGTAAAAACCAACAGCAACAAAAACAAAAAACAAACAAACAAAAAAACCCAGTTCCATTTAAGTATATCCTTGAAAACGCAGTAAAAACTATTAATTTTGTTAAATCTCAACGTGACATTCCTTTTTCAGTATTCTTTGTGACAAATGGGAAATTCCTATAATGAAACACTTATGCCAAACACAATGAAGGACTTGGGCAAAAGCACTCAGGTCTGTAATCTTTTGAGTTGCAAGCTGAACTAGCCACTTACCCCCATCCCCACCCCATAAGATACCATTTTACTTTAAAGACTTAGTGATAGACAAACTGGTTTTTTAGATTTGGCAGACATTTTCTTACAATGTTTGATAGACATTTTCTTGAAAAATGAATGAAGTAAGATTGTCATTTCAAGTAAAACAACTGACAATATTTATTACCAGTGATAAAATTTGAGCAAACTAAAATTTTGGAAAACTTGTTGCCTCCATCATGAACTTGGCAGCTTTCCAATTCTTAAATATTTTTTTTCTGATGACATTAATGGTGATATTAACAAATGCAGTGTTTTTATAATAAGATAACTAAATGTGTTAACATTTGAAAGGTCTAACTTTTTAAATTAATGTTTTCTAATAACCAGTT